CTCATATAGGACATCCTTGGTGTTTCAAGTCTACGGACCAAAGACACATTGGGATGACGAAATCGTTGTATGACAATAAGGTATCATCAAACATCCAACATTCCATGAGCGGATTAATCAGTGAACTCATTCTCCAATGAGCACCTGCGTAGTATCCCTAGTGTCCCCACATTAGCAACTATGAGACCAATCACCTCCATTATATGGACGGGTGTACAACACATCAGTTTATCCGATCATCTCGATGTCTCTCTCGAGTGACTATGATCGAGATTATTTAGAGTCTGTGTTTAAAGACGAATTGGTCTCATTATCGTAATCTCATGATCTGATTCTTATTATACAGATCTATAGACATCACAATACATGTAATAGACAATATAGAGTGAGAAAAATACTAAATAAGTAGTAAGCAAAAAAAGTGTGTATCATGTCACATGTGTCATCACTCACGTAATTGGCTTACAAAGCACCTATGACTAGCAAGGACTCCCTACACACTAACTTAGTCGTATAACTTACATATTATCTTCTCCCCTTTACTGACTTAAGCATCGGAGGGGCTGTGCTGGGCAACCCCCGACACTGGCTTATCATGCAAGATAGCCAACGGTTAGTAGGTGACCCCACTATTAGGGTGTAGTTATACAATCATGAGACAACCCTTTGCCCGAGGACATCCCGACGACTTAGCCCTAGGGAGGAACCTCGCAACAAGGAAGAACTCAGACTGCCTACCCCGTCACCCTGAACTGGGTCCTTGACAATAGAATGACTTCTAACTAGATCACTTATGCGGCCTCACCTCACCAAGTCTCCTACATCAGTAAGGAAGAGGCACTTGTGTGAGCTTGCACCTTCGGTAGTAGACCAACTATGCCGACTCATTTGTCGATGGTACTCTTAACACCATTATCTCTTAAGTATTCTTGTGTGCCAGTTGTAGGCGGTAATAAAGTTTTTTATGTTATTTGTAATTATCATTCTTATAAACATTAGAATGAACCTATTAAATCCTTTATAAGTATTTATTTCATTAATTTATTTTATAGTGCTTTCATCAATTAAGTCTACGGCCATTCAATAAGTAATATTAGGTTAAGATCTAATGAACTTAGTGCTAACTGTATATACCCTAAATATTCTGAATAATTTGAACCTGAAAATACAAAGACACTAAAAGCATGTGTACATGAAAGGAAGTGTCATTGAAAAATATAAAATAATATTAATACTTTGAGTTTATAAAATATATGAACTATTGATATCATCAATATTTTATCTTTAGTGAAATATTGATATATCTAGTGTTTATTAAAAATTATGTATGGATGACTAATATCACCCTCATGGAGTAATATTGCTATATTTGGATATAAATCCTAAGTTGTAATGATATGCAAAACAATATTTTTCTATCACATCATATAATTATTTGAAGTATATTCTCTTTTAGAATTATCTAAATTTTTTAACTGTGTGTCGTTATAAATATTATTTTTAATATTATTTAGGACTAATTTTTTAATGTAATTTTATAAGTTCATTTGTCTATGCCACTTTGACATCTACAAGACTAATACAATAATATAAAATATAATTTAAAATATCCTATAAATGATAAAATATTATTTATAATTCATATCCCATCTTAGGCCACTTTTATAGTCACAAATAATATTCACCAAATATCATTTAATCTAATATATATATAATTTAATAATAATAAATAATAATCATAATAATTATTAAATGTTTATTAGGATAAAAGAAGAAACTCATATGATAATTGTAATAATGATAAATATAAATCATAATTTTATGTGAAAAGTAAATATTATTTTATAATTTTTAACATATGCATGTGAATAATAAATATCCAAAATAATAATTAAAATTTACTTATCATAAGTAAAAAAAAATTATCAATACATCATATGAGAAAATCATAAAAATAAATCATAATTTATTTATTTTTCATATAGAATCCTAAACTAGACCAATCAATCATATTTAATTGGACAAGCCTAGAATTGGGCTAAACATCAACTCAATTATGTCAATCAAAATTAAAGTTGACCAAAGTCAAAACTTAATCAAAATTTAACTTTCCCAAATTCAGTCAAAATGAGATTGATCGAATCTAAATCTAGTCAAGCAATCAAAATATATTTAGAATTAAGTATAATCAAAATATTTGATCAAAGCATGTCAAATTAGTCAATTTTATAGTTGAGAACATTAGTAAAAAGTATTTAATTTTTAAATGGCAAAACTATAGTTTTACTACGATATATAGTGTAAATATCTAATTTTAAAGGATAGAACTGTTAAAGAAAGGCAAAACCGTAAATTTTTTGCTTCTCAATTACCGCTGCACAAGGCATGCAGCTGTCGCGATGCATGGCCATTCTCACACAGCTAATTGACAGCCCCACTAATCACTGTGGTGTTCAACCATGCAGCTATGCTCACATGTTGATCAGCGAACTCCATGGTCGCCATGGTGTGCGACTGCTTTCATGTGTCTGTTGCACGAACTGTGACCTTCGCTGTCCAATCGACATCGGTTGTGACCAACAAATGTCGTCATAGTTGCATTGCTGCAGCCATCGATCAAAGGCGATGACGCTGCGTCGGTTTGAGGCAACCACAACGATACTTGGGCTATTGGACATAGGCAATGGTGCATGCAATCATCATCGGTTGTCGCACCTCTCGCTACCGACAATCATTGAAAGTCATCGCCCTCAGCAATGCTATCATCGATAGCAAACTATGGATAATAATTCATCGGTCAAACTTGATGAACCTTGCATTACTTATAAGCAAGCAACAACTTGGACGAGATAAGAAAGCAAATCAACAACACAAATAGATCGTTCAAGCATCATATAATCAAAATTTAATAATACGTTTTTGCCAGCGAATAATACTAACAAATAACAAATAGATCTAAACATAAAACAAACTTCATATATTTTTTATCTAAATTATTTGATTTCAAAACAATTGGCTTTAATACCAATTGTAGACATAGAAATTATAATTTTGTTATTGTTATGTGAAAAGATTTAACATCAGAATAAAAATCAAATAATGATATATCAAGATCAAAATTATGTACCTTTCGATATCATTAAGGAAATCTTTATTTGATTATAAATGTATTATCGTCAGATTTGAAAGCTGCAATAATATCGATCCGTAAGGAAAACTAAACTCGTATTCTCATCTCTTCGTATCATTCATAAGACTATTATGAGCTATAAAATAGGGACCTAGAGAAATTAAGAATAGATCTATAATCTCAATTTCTAGTGTTTCATCCCTAGGAGGTTTTGTCGTTTTATAGACGAGAGAAATAGAGTGTAAGATGATATTTAGGAAAGTCTTTTCCATCAAGATTAACTCCTAAGAAATTATATCAAAAATAAAATTTTCTTTTATTGTCCGATAACTATAATCAAAATCTAATCAAATTTATAAGATATCGAAATAAGACCTCATAATCTAACGCTTACCTCCTTATCTCTATTTGACATCATAAAAAATTTATTTGGTAAGTTTTTGAGTTCTCATAAGTATTTTAAATAATTTAATGAGTATTTTAAATAATTTATTAGATATAATTTAATATAAAAAATAAAAATAAAAATAAAAAGCTTTTAGAGAAACGTACCACATCGAGATTTAATCTCATACATGTCGAAAGTAAACTAAAATTTAGATAAATTTAGACTATTTATTAGTCTAAACTTAAACATGTAGAGCTAATTAGATAAAAATAAGTGAAATTCTCATGTCAACTATTATAGTGAGGAGTCATATCCTGATAGTTGATTGACATCACGATGATGAGAGACTTATTCATAAATAGAAATAGAAAGGTTTATAGGTGCGAGGCTCACCCATCAATGAAAAAGTTGGAAGAATATATTACTATTACTATTAAATTAGATTTAGACATTCTAATTGTGACCATCAAGTTGATGACTCAATTAGTCATTCAGATCGTGACAGTTAGTGATAGCCATATATTTCTCGTTTTTGCTTTGAAATCTGATTCGCCCGGTAAGAAATCAACGAATGATGGATTGCATCACACGTAGAGGCAGCAAAGACCAGACTTCGAATTGAGATCAAGATTTAGCTACCTGTGGAGCCTTCGGTCCTCAATTCCAGATTATTATATGTATGTCTATATACTATGCACCAATGTGTTGTTACATGACATCAAGATGTTTTTTGTTTTTTTGTTGAAAGGAAAAGGAAAACTACATTAATTTAAGGGTTTATAACAAAAAATTATAATTGATTTTTGCTTTTGTTTGAAAACTGTATTTCTTGATTAATAAGAAAATAATAAGAATTTTGTTTTGAGCTCATGCCAGCATGGGTGACTTTATAATTAATCAAGACTATAATTAATATCAATATTGATTCAAAACATCATTGGTTGATTATTAGGAAGGATATTGAGATTCTTTGACCTTAATCTTTTGTTTTAGATATTTGTTTATAAATAAATTTATTTAATATGATATGAATAATTATTATTAATTAGTTAGGTAAAGATAAAAAAATTATAATAAATAAAAATTTAAGTACTTTTAAATTAATTAAGTTACAATAGATCCCTCCCAAATTATTGAAACATAATATTATTTGTGGATGATTTTATTTATATATATATATATATATATATATATATATATATATATATATATATATATATATATATATTGGTTTTGTTTAAAAATAGTTCATTAATCTAAAAAATAAACATTTTTAAAAATTATTATATTATAATATTCATTATTTGTGAAATAATATTAATCAATTAGTATGTCTCGATAAATTAAGAAAATAAATATAAAGTAATTAATGGGAATGAAGAAAAAGAAGATATTATTGCTTTTAAAGCCAAAAATCAAGCATTTAATGCGTCTGCTTCGCTAAATTAATATAATATAGACAGACTCTCTTTAGTTTCGATCCATTCCTTTCGTTTCTTGTTGGAAATATCTCCAAGAGGAGGAGGATTCCTTCGGCGGAGGAAGGGAGATGAAGATACAGTGCAACGCGTGCGAGGCAGCCGAGGCGGCGGTGCTCTGCTGCGCGGACGAGGCCGCGCTCTGCTGGGCCTGCGACGAGAAGGTGCACGCCGCCAACAGGCTTGCCGGGAAGCACCAGAGGGTGCCTCTCCTCTCCGACGACGGTGGCGGCCCTGTCTCGGGGAGCAGCTCTTCCACCGCCTCTGGCGTCCCCAAGTGCGATATCTGCCAGGTGCCCCGCCTTCTGCCTCTCTCTCGCGTTCATGGGCCGCCTTGATCGTTTCTGGTACGACGAGGTGGACCTGGTCGCAATTCGGTTTGCTGCTTCTTTTGCCGTCTTCTTTCCCGATCAATCGTTCTAATCTGATTTTGTTTGAGGGCATATTCCTGTTTTATGAATGAATTGGTGTAAAGATGTAACTTTTGTGGAGTAACTTACTGTCCATGATATCATACAAGAGACAGACTTTGTGGTCTCTAATCTCTGATGGCTTCACTTATTCCGGAACTGGAGCTGAATTGGAGCTTCACTATGCTAGCAGGTAAATGGTATGCCAAATGAAGTTACTGCAAGGGACTTGGGAACATAGCATGACTGAAGAAAGAATAGGGGGTTCAGAACACTGTGCATATGGACTTATTGCTTCGCAGCACATGCATCATAGTGCCTGTAAATATAAGTTTGATAGTATGGTGACAAATAGTTAAATCTAGTTATCACTTGAGTTATAAGATTGGATCACTTATGAAGTTACTTAGGGAACTGTGTCATCATCTTCACACAGTTGGTTAATCTATGCAAAAATATGAATGCTTTGATCCACTTGGTTTTTAGGAAAGTGAGCACAGAGATTACCAATATATGTATTCTAAATTTGGACGTGGACTCTATAATGTATATTAATATATTGCAGCTAAAGCAAAATTTGTTTTTCAGGAATAAACTCAGAAAACTTTGTATTAATTTTTCTCTGCTAAAGAATGGGAATCAGAAGATTCAGAACAGCTTGAAAATATTTTAATGGTCATATAATTCATATCATGATCTGCTAATATGAAAATGCTTTGCACACAATTCTTGCAGTCAATGAATGTCTAGCAGGAGGTTAACATTCAAGCCAAACATTTGGAGGGTGGTCAAGCATCAGAAAGGGAGATGCTGTCATGACCCGGGTTTGATGAGCTAGCTGGCTTATCAACTTCATTTGGCCCAAGCCACTGGCCAAAATACCTAAGCTGAAGTTGATTGTAGTTGCTCATCAAACCTTCATAAGTCAATCTTAGTCTTTACACACTTCCAATACAGGATTAATCGGGGTGTTACAGATGCTTTTATTGTGATTACAGATCATATTCATAGTTTACCTATTTGCTAATTTTATTGGGTTATAAGGGCTGGTTATTTCGTATAAAGTGAGGGAAATATAAACCCTCTTTCAAGATTTCAAGACTATTGTTTTTGGAAGTGATTTATATGTGAATTTTACCACTGGAGATAGCAAAATAATTCGAAAAGGATGATTGTCTTTTAACATTTACTTGGCTAATTCTGATCTCATCCCAACTGATTAGGATCAGGATTTTCATATCCTAACCCCAACTTCATCTATAGATAACCCTTTCATTGCCAGCAGAGTAATTGTTGGAATTATGCTAGATCTTGACGACGAGGAAGAGATAAGAAATTGAATGTGGAGGAGGTGTTAATCACTGACTACATCTGCTGCTCGTTGGCCACTATTGCTGCTTGCTTTTGGTATTTCCCAGTTTCTTATAAAGAATAATGTTTCTAGTAAGACTGAAAGAAAGGGGGAGAAAAAAGAGGCAAAAAGGTTTCAGGAGTCAAAAAAGAGAGGGAGGGGGAGGGAGATAGAGAGAAGGGGAGTTGGGTGCAAGACCTCTCCATTCATACTTTTAGTTATCTGTCAAATATGCACCAATGGTTGGCAGGACATTACATAACAGCAGACAGTTGTTGGTCCAATTTTCATTAAAGGTGCAATTGAAGAGGTGTCACCATCTATTGGATGGTAGATGGTGACTCGTAGGATACAATGATCAGATGTATCACATGGCATGCAAAATGGAGCCATAATGAAATGTCATATTTCGTGTAAATGACATGAGATGATGGATCTATATGGAATGGTGTATGGATAATGCATCTACAGTTGAATGGCTCCTATGAATCACATGCTGAAAAGCAAAACATGGTAATTTAATTTTTGGTGGTGGCAAACTGGTAGAGTTCACATGCACTTCCGACTTAAACAATGGATTACATAGGAAGTCAGTGATCTTTTCAAAGGAAAAAATATATATTAATCAAGATGCAAAAAATAGAAGCTTGCGTTCCTAAATCAGCATATTGATAACACAGCAAAGACAATTTTTAGATTAACTTTGTGACTCATCAATCTCTATGTGGCTGACCTTTCAGAAAAGCTGTTCCCCATATGTAGTCATGGAAAATAAATTTCCAGTTTTCTCCAGTGTTTGAGCTTGATGATATGGAGCTTCTCGTGCCAAATTTCATAATTGGAAGATGTTCAGAGCTAATGGGTTAACTGGATTTGTGGGGCAATCAAACAAGTTGCAGCAAGAAGTTGGCAGCTGTTGAGGTATTTGATCACAAGGAAGGTGTATATTTGAGTTCATTCATTTTTGAAGTTCTACCCGCTTCATAAACAGCACAGCCCTAGGGATGCCTAGCAGAAGCAATGGATGAATCGATGTTGCAATAGAGTTCAATCGAGTCATCTTTCTTTTTTGTTTCTTTTTGTATATGTGGAGGTTGAGTCCAGCTTACTTTTGTCTTTTAGTTGTATGGCTAGTATTAGATTATAGGTTTAGCTCTCTTGTTATGTTAATTCTTACATGTGATTTCTAGGTATTGTTGCTTCTTGTTTAATATTTTCCTGAGTTGTCACAATACAGTCAAGAATCTAAAATTGGTCAAAGCTTTTAGAATCCTTTTAGATCTTACATCCATTGTTCTGTTGTCATTCTTATTGTTATACTTATCATTTTCCACCATCCATACAGTTCTCTCAAATTGGATACTTATACTAACACTGTCAGTCATCTTCTATCTAAGAAAGTCTGGCTTCCAATAAATATTAAAATTTCAATGTTCCTAGACCATGAACGTGTTACACGTACCACTCAAATAATTATTTTTGTGGAGAAAGCAGTACTAGATAAATAAAGAAATGATTTAAGATACTCTTTCCTTGTTTTCTTGATAAATAAAGACATGATTTACATTGATCCTTTTCTTTGTCTTCCTTTTAGGCTGGGTGCAAAAGGTTAAGTACAACTTATACAGAATCTTGGAAACTTAAGTTCAGTGCATTGTGCTAATGTGTTTTGTTTGTTGTGTTCTTTTTTGTTTTGGTGATTATCTGAATGTATGCTTTGCTTCTATCTGGATGCGAGGGATGCTTTTGGTAGTTTGTCATGATTCATGTGTTTTTGAATTATGACTGATCAATCATCGATATCCATCTTTAAATATTGAACTTCATTATGCCAGCTAATGTTTCCACAGGATAAACATCTTTAAATGTTGGTTCTCACATGCATATTTGTTGAATTTCCTGCATTTATAATATATATGATGTTCTTATGTGGCAATATGTATGTGTTTAATGATGTCCTTATTGGGCTTCTGTGCATATTTTTTCCTTTGAACATATAGAACTAAGTCTTTGTTTTTCCAGGAAGCTTCTGGCTACTTCTTTTGTTTGGAAGACCGTGCCTTGCTTTGCAGGAAATGTGATCTTTCTATACACACAGCAAACTCTTACGTGTCTGCTCACCAAAGATTTCTACTAACAGGGGTGCGAGTAGGACTCGAGTCTGCTGAATCAGTGCCTGTTGCTAACCAGCAGTTGCATGCTGCAGGAAAAGCTGTCTTATCTCCATCTAAACAATTGCGTCTTATGTCATCCACTGAGACCAATGCAGTTTCATCCAGTCAAATAGCCAGGGTTGGAGGTTCAGTGGCAAGCATGGCCCCAGCATCAGGGTTCAGTATGTCTGGAAGTGCACCTGGTTGGCCTTTTGATGAATTCTTTGGCTTCCCAGATATCAATCAAAATGGTTTTGCAGAGCATAATGCCTCTAAGGTAGGTTCTCCATCAGTTGCATTTGATGTGGATAGTGAGTTCCTGGTTTAGGGTAAACTTACATCAGAAACCACATCCTGTTATACATCATGAACCCAATCTCATATATAGCATGTGGCAGTTTGTGTTGTCTTCCTTTACGAGCATGTCCTAAACTTGATTGCAGATATGTTATGCTTGTTTCATCATTTAGGCTTACTGTTTTTGGTATATGTCAAGATGCATAATGACTCCTCATCAATGTTGCATGAGGGGATAAAGAATGTAGCTGGATGCTCTCAATTTTTATTGTATCTTGAGACATGCATACTTACTTCATCTACTGATGAACATTGTTTGGTCCACAGGCTGACAGTGGAAAGCTCGGAAGCCATGGATCGTCACCACCTTATCATTCTGTTGACAGCGATCTGGATGCCTATGAATGCGTGGGCCAGCATCCGGAGTACTACTGGGCGGTGCCGGAAATTCCATCCCCACCCACGGCTTCAGGGCTCGGCTGGCAAAGAAACCTGCTTCATCCTGCATCCGATGATGCTGCTTTTGTGCCGGACCTTTGTTCTTCGTCTCATCACGTGACCACATCATTTCGTTCACACCGTCATCACCGTCGATGTTAAAAATCTTGGGGATGATGTGAGTTGAAAACCAGTTTGCTAATGCAAGGCTTGTTAGGAAGGATGATGTGAATTGTTTGCTCACTGCTGAATCCTTTTATCTATATTTTGAGGTACATTGCATCATCATAGATAATAAGCAAAGATGGGTTTGTTTCAGTGTGTTGTATCAGACTACGTGGTTGCTGCGCCATTATTTATCAACCTGCAGTTTTGTTCACTTAACAGTTTTGATTATATGGTCAGTAGTTGAAACAACAAAAGATGGAGGGAGGTTCAAGTCAATGCTAAGGTTGCATCTTTTCAGCTTGGAAGGTTAGCGTTTGACTCACGAAAATAATTTTTATATTTAAATAAAATTATATTTTTTTTATTTTTTTTATATCTCGTATTGGTATTTTTCGTATAGAAAAATAATTACATATATTGATTATCCTGGATTGACGGAAATCTTGTGCATTAGGTATGCTCCTTTTTAATTGGAACAATCAAATAAATTAACATAAAAGTATAAATTAACAATCAAATTCAATTGAGCATATGATAATAAAATTGGGCAATTTCATGAAAAAAAATCTTTTTTATTTTTATTTTTTTTACAAAAGATGTTCTTTCTTTCTTTCTTTTATTCTTTTTTTTTTACCTTCAGTGTTTTCAGCAATATCAAGAAAATATTATAAATTATAGTAAAAACACACTATAACTGAGATAAGAAAAAGGAAAGAAAAAGAGGGTAGTTTGCTAGTTTTTTAAATCAAGGGTATATTTGAAATTGGAGGGAAAAAAAGAAAAGAAAAGAAAAGAAAAACAAAAGGGAGACTCTGCTACGGAAATTTGAAAAGAGTTCATCTTCTGAGAAAGCCCTAAAAAGAAGAGCTTTTTTTTGTCCAAAAATCATTCAATAAAATTTTAGTTAAAATGGAATGAAACTCTACATAAGAAATAAGATTAGCAGATTAACTAAATATTTTGACGACTTGCACATCTTCTTCCATCTCCCGTGGGTTTTAGCAAAATAATAATATTATTAATATTATTCAATGGAGGGTGATGTAGACATATAATACAATGTAGATTATATAATAAATACAATGTAGACATATAATCTTTTAAGAGAGCTGCACAATCTGACAAAGCTCAACTTGTTTATCCTTTCCTCACATGATAGAGATGGGATTTGAGGAGTTGTACTTTGTGACAGACAACATGTGTGACTTGGTGTTCCCCAAACCCATTTGACTCCCTCATTTAAATATAAAGAAAGGTTCATTAAATCTTATATAATATATGTTCTTTTGTAATTAATCTTTGGTGGATTGATGATAATTTGACTCTTAAAATGAATTTGAATTGAAACTAATATCTTCAAAGATTGATTCAAGAACCATATAATGAATGCTAAAACCACTTATTGTTAATCATTTGATGATTGATTTAAATTTTCTACAAGGATGCCAAAAAGGAGTGATTGTGATATTTTTATTGTTTTGAGGAAAATATATATTTATATGAGTAAATTTGAAAAATTCCTGTGGAATGCTCTTATTTCTAAAACTTTCTTTAGAGCACTCTTTTTTTTTTTTTTAATATAAGAAGATTATTTTACTCTTGTCTTTATCCAATCTATCATTGCTTTCTTTCATGGCTTGAGTTGCACCTTGATCATCTTTGCTTCTACATGTGTTTCTCTTACCCTTAGATTATCATGTTTGTATCTTGTCTTCTCTTATCATCCTTATTTATGATATGGACGATCAACAATAAAGATATAGATAACAAGAGCTTATGCACCAACACACATCCGATCAACAATATCTAACTTACACATGAAAGCACAAGCGATTACACATGCTAAAATTATCTAAAAAAATATTTAATTTTTTTAAAAACTAAAAACAATTTCAGGAATTTGCCTTATTATTAATAAAATTATCTAAAAAATTTAATAATAATAATAATAATAATAATAATAATATTATTATTATTATTATTATTACCGTAGTGAGTGTTTGACCAATGGGGATGTGGGAAGGATGCCCATCTTCCTTGGTTGGGGCCGCAAGGCAACTTGCACGAAGATCAAAGCAGCCGGCCCTATTTCTTGGTTTCGTTTGGTCTCCGAGGAGGCGAGGCGGTGTTGACAGGGAAGAAGCTGTCCGATCGATTGGTGTCGACTCCTCCTGCGATCGCGCCCGTAGTCGTCGATGCAAGCAAGTAATCCTCTGGAATTCTTGATATTTCCCTTCTTTTGCGCGGACCGGTTAGAATTTGTGATGGTTTAAGGCTTGTGGTATTGAATCTGGAGGGGAATACGATGGTGTTCCCGTCGCATCTCTGGATTCCGGATCGCAAGCATGGTCTGCACCGCGAGTTGTTCGCATTTGATTCATTATAACGCTTGTTGTATTATTCGTAGAGACACAATTATGCAGTTTGGATGCGTTTTCTGAAGAGAAATTTTGATCACATTGTAATAATTACATCAATTGATGCGCTTGGTTTTGATTACAGTATTATTACTTCCTCTCACATTTAGTTTCCTTCTCAAAGTTTCAATCTTTGAGTCTGCTATGTGCTTCTTTGCATACTATGTATCATCTTTTCTCAGCCAATTGACATTCTGTGGCATATTTTGCTTGCAAAACGTGAATAGAAAGGCAGTATCTTTTGCTCCACACACAAAGGTTCTTTATATCAGCACTTGCTTGTGATAGAGAGACGGGGAGAGGGTGAGTGGAACTAAAACATGCACTGACGTGCGGGCGGGCGCAGGCTTTAGAGTAAGAAGTGGATTTAGGGTTTTGATATTCGTGCAGATATTGGATTTTTATAGAATTCAATCGGACTTTACGGATTTTTTGTTGTTGTAGATTTATGAAGATATTGCATCACTTAGTACTCATCTTTTATCTCCTTATTATGATTAACACCAATTTACTGCAATAGGATCTTATTATGCATGTATTGCACTTGGAATAACCTTAATTGATTCTCCTCATTTGTTACCTCAAAAGTCTCTGCTAACCCATAGAGCTTAGCAGTTTGACGTTCATCTGTTGAGAGTGAGAAGTGGATTTAGGGTTTTGACACACACTCAAGTATTGCATCACTTACTACCATAGTGCAGCAGTTTTTGTCTTGTTCCAATAAGCACCACTTTGGTGCAGTATGATATTATTGCCTATATTGTCACAAGTGATTCTCCTCTTTTGCTACCTCAAAATATATAAAACCATTTATTTTACAGTCAGTACAGCTTTGTAGATTTTTAGTTTTGTAAAGGTCTCATCAGGTTTTTGGATTGATGCTATCATGTATATGGTTACTTAGAAGTTTTCTATGATGCAATCTCAAAATCCATCATACACCACATCTTCTAAAGGTTATCGTGAACATCATAAAATCAGGCTAGAAACTTTATGCTATTTTTTTTTCTTTAAATTATTTTTCCACCTTGTTGCATTGACCATAACAGAATGGCTCAGTACATGCTACAAAGATTACATTAGAACAATATGGAGCAATTCCAATGTGGGGGAAAAAAAGGTACAATTGAACTAAAATAGAAATTTTCTATGATGCAATCTCAAAATCCATCATACACCACATCTTCTAAAGGTTATCGTGAACATCATAAAATCAGGCTAGAAACTTTATGCTATTTTTTTTCTTCTTTAAATTATTTTTCCACCTAGTTGCATTGACCATAAAAGAATGGCTCAGTACATGCTACAAAGATTACATTAGAACAATATGGAGCAATTCCAATGTGGGGGGGAAAAAGGTACAATCGAACTAAAATAGAAGTTTTCTATGATGCAATCTCAAAATCCATCATACACCACTTCTTCTAAAGGTTATCGTGAACATCATAAAACCAGGCTAGAAACTTTATGCTATTTTTTTTTCTTTAAATTATTTTTCCACCTAGTTGCATTGACCATAAAAGAATGGCTCAGTACATGCTCCAAAGATTACATTAGAACAATATGGAGCAATTCCAATGTGGGAGGAAAAAAGGTACAATTGAACTAAAATAGTGGAGCCATTTTTGAAGCTATTTTCTAGTGGTTCATTTCATAATGTTATTTATCTAGTGTCATGCGCTATCTATTACATGGTGAAGTTAACTTTTCAGAGTACATTGATATTAATATTGAATTAGAACAAAATGGAGCAATTGCAATGTGGGGAAAAAAAAGGTTACAATTGAACTTAAAATAGCAGAGCCATTTAGAAGGTATTTTTTGCAGTAGTTATTTTCATAATGTTATTTATGTAGTGTCATTTGCTATCTATTAGATGGTGAAGTTAACTTTCGATGATGGAGCTACAGATGGAATGCATGAGCAACTTGGAAGTGAGCTTCTGCAATGGAGGCAGTGGCAACTATTGGATTCGGTCCTTCCGACCGGTGGCTTTGCTCATTCTTATGGACTTGAAGCTGCCATCCAAACTACTTTTGTGACGAACCCCATAGATCTTAAGTCCTATATTGTACAAGTCTTGGAGAATACTGGCAGCCTACTTCTTCCCTTTGTATATTGTGCCTGCAAGTCTCCGGACATTGTTGCCTGGTCTAAGCTGGATAGGTTGCTCGAAGCAACCTTAACGAATGAAGTCAGTAGAAAAGCATCAGCATCTCAAGGATCAGCACTTCTAAGAGTAGCGGCATCGGTATATCTCGAGGTTCCATCTCTCAAAGAAATGAGAGACAAATTCTTGGGGTCAGGATCTGTTTATTTCCATCATGCGCCTATTTTTGGTCTCATATGTGGATTTCTTGGATTTGATAGCAGTACCACGCAGAGGATGTATATGTTCATGGCAATGAGAGATGTTATTTCTGCTGCGACGAGATTAAATTTGGTCGGGCCTCTCGGAGCATCAGTGTTACAACACCAACTCGCCTTGGTTGCTGAAGAGATGATGAAGAAGTGGATGGACCGACCTGTCGATGAAGCATGCCAGGTTGCTCCTATGCTTGATGTTGTGCAAGGTTGTCACCAATACTTATTCTCAAGACTGTTTTGCTCTTGATATCATGTTAGGGTTGCAGAACACTGCCAAGTATATATTGAATTTTTGCAGGTTTCATCAATCCACAGTAGGAATTGATTTTTGATGAACAAACAAATGTGAACTTGTAGCCAAGAAAATTATCCTTATTTGGTTTATGCTGAGAGAATTATAGCTTATGACAGCCCAAGTATATGTTGAAAGTTTTGCCGGTTTCATCAATCTACAGCCAGAAATAATCTTTGATGAACAAACAAAAGCAATGTTATAACCAAGAAAATTAGCCTATTTATTGATTTGCTAAATGGAGAGAACATATAACTAATTAGAGAGTATGTAATTAATTGGCATCAATTGCATTGTATATCATGGATTGTCTTTGGTTCATATATATATATATATATATATATATATATATATATCC